TGTCATGACCATCAGCATTAGGTATACATATAACATAGATCACTCACATCCACACAAAGGCGGGGGTGGGTGGGTGGGCAGGTAGGCACCTAGTCGCACTCTGCGAAGGTCTGCACGATGATGTCGCACGCCTCGGCCAGCTGCTCGTCCGATATCACCTGCACACACAGCCAGGACAGGACACACACACACCAGTGTGTGGGCATGGCAATGTCTCTCCCTCTCTCTCTCTCTCTCTGTGTGTGTGTGTGTGTGTGTACCAGTGGAGGTGCGAATCTGATGATGGTTTCGTGTGTGGGCTTGGCCAGCACACCGTTGTCAGCCAACTTCAGACACACGGCCCATGCAGACGTCTACACACACAGACACACACCGGACACACACACAGATGCGGGTGTGTGGACAGTAGGTGTATGTGTTGGTGTGTCGTATGGTGTGTGTGGTGGATCAATCCATCCATACCGAGTGTCTGGGGTCGATTTCGATGGCGTTGAGGAGTCCCTTGCCGCGGACCTCCTTGATCCACGTGTGCTTCATGCTACGCATCCTCGAGCGGAACACCTCACCCAACACCTCTGCAAAACAAGACGGCACACAGCGACACAATCAATACATGTGATAACTACTGTCATCTCGTCCCTATCAGCGAAGCGATCGGCTGACCAGCTCTCGCTGCGAGGTTCTCGTCTTTGAGGACCTGCAGTGCCGCCATGGCCACTCGACATGCCAGTGGATTGCCGCCATAGGTCGAACCGTGCATCCCTGCGCGCAGGCAACACACGGCAGCCCAGCCACCAGATAAAAAACGGCACAACACTGGCTCACGCTATTCTGGGCACCCATCCTTGTGTTATGTGTGTACCTGGTTTCATGTTGAGCATGATATCATTGTCGCAGAGCACAGCCGACACCGGCATCAGCCCCTGCACAAGGCAAGAAAACCATCCATCAACCAGACAACACTAACACATTGACCCTCCCTCCGCGTGTCTGTCTGTCTGCTGTGTGTGCGTGTGTGGTGGATGTGGCTACTAGCCAATTAAGTCACCCACCCCGCTGAGCGCCTTGCCGAGGACGAGTATGTCGGGCCGTGCGCCAGTGTGGTCGCAGCAGAGCATGCGGCCGGTGCGGCACAGACCCGTCTGGATCTCGTCGGCTATGAACAACACATTCGCCTCCTTGCACAAACGCGACACCTGACACACAGACAGACGCACAGAAGCACAGAAGCAAACCACATGTATTGTGTGGTCGGATGGATGGATGGATGGATGGATGGATAGCTCATGGAGGTCTCACTGCTCTGCTCACCTCGCTGAGGTAGTTGTCGGCGGGCACCTTGACGCCAGCCTCGCCCTGGATGGGCTCTGCACACACGACGACCACACGCACATATATGCAGACGCCGATCGACGTGTGTCCATCCCATCAGCTGGCCCTTCCTTCCATCCATCCATCCATCTCCCTCTGTACGCGTACCAACATAGAATCCAGCCACGTGAGGGTCCGCCAGCGCCTCCCTGACACACACACGCACACACACAGAAAGGCAACCGCCATCTCCACACATCAATCACATGCTGCTCGGAAATGTGTGTGGCAATCCATGTAGGTTAGGTGTGTACTTGAGTGCGTCGAGGTCGTTGTAGGGCACGAGGACGAACCCCGGTGCGTATGGGCCGAAGTGCTTGTAGCAGTCCGGATCCGTCGAGGAGCTCAGCGCCGCCAAGGTGCGGCCCCAGAAATTGCCCCTGTGTGGAGTGCACACACAGGACAGGACGACAGATGAGCAGAGCACAGTCGCCTTTCTCAGTCAGGGGTGGTTCGGTTCCTTCCATGCATTTGTTCTCACTGACTCGGCGAATATGATTTTGGCCTGGTTCTGCGGAATACCCTTCTTGACATAGCCCCACAGCCTGCACAGCTTGACGGCCGTCTCGCCCGCCTCTACACCCGTGTTCATCGGCAACACCTGCACAGACAGCACACAGGCACACGTGATAGATAGAGCGCTAGTCGTGCGGTGTTTTGTTGTCGGCTGGCCGGGCGCCCGACTGACTGACTGACTGACTGACTGACCTTGTCGTATCCGAAGAATTCAGTGATGTACTTGGTGTACGGGGCCATGACGTCGTTGTGGAATGCCCGACTGGTCAGCGTGAGGGTCTGGCACTGATCCACCATTGCCGACACTATCCTTGGGTGACAGTGACCTGTTTGTTGACAAACAGACACACCCACTGAACTGATGCGTGTGTCACGACGTGTCTGTCTGTGTGGTTGTGTTGTCTGACTGGCTGACCCTGGTTGACTGCCGAGTAGGCGGCGAGGAAGTCGAAGTACCTCTTGCCCTCCACGTCCCACAGGAAGGGTCCCTGGCCCCTCGACAGCACCACCGGCAGCGGATGGTAGTTGTGCGCACCTCGCTCATGCTCCAGCGCGATGAAATCCGCCGACGACTTCAGACCGGGAGGGTGCTGCATGCCGTGTTCACCGCCGGCTTCTGACAGGTTGCGCGGCATGGTGGACGAGGGTGGGACGAGGCAGCGGGAGATCTGGGAGGAGGCTACGGGAAGGGCGGCAGAAACGACGCGTCGCAGAATGCTGAAGTTGATGTCCAAAGATGGCGAGATATGCTACTTGAGGCGAATGCTACTCGCCAAAGGTTCCCGCGGAGAGAAAGACGAAGGCGTGTCTCTCGCGCTTGTGTTCCCGAAACCGATCTTTAAAGGCTCGCAATTTTGAAAATGCTGGTGGTCATTGCCTTTGTGGCTGGCGCCGTGGTACAGAGGGCAAACGCGGTGACCATCGTACCGGGGTTTGGATGGCCGAAAGCCGACCAATACTGTGTGGACTCGGCATTTCAATACACTGAGCCGTCCGAAGAGGAATGCGGCCAGAGGTCGCTCAGAGAGGGCAGAGAGGGGCTGACAATTAATGATGCAGCGATGCTTGCTTTGCAATGTTGCTTATGTCTGCAGGTGCAAGTTGGATGTGACGTGTCGGTGTTTTGACTTCAAGGCCGGCGGGCTGCCTGACCAAAACATCAAGTCGTGTCGGCTGTCAGACACGGCACAACTCGCAGCCAGTGCTGCGGGGTACACCGCATACATCAAGCCGGAAAGCACCGGTAAGGACCGAAGATTGATGTATCGCACATGTGTGTTTGGCTTTCAGTTGAGGTGGTTGAGTTGAATGGATTTGATTTCCCCTTCCTGGACTTTGCATGCGTCGACCCCTTCGCTCAGCTGGGAGCCAACAATGCGTCGTTTCAGATCGTCGACTGTGCCGCCGCGTAAGTGACCAAACGCCACTCTCCTTGCTTGTACAGTCACTCACACGGGGTGTCTTGTGGGCTGTCAGCTGTCTGCAATCGGCCCAGTGCGCCTGCTTCTCGTTCTCCACGGAAGGAGGTGCAGCTGCGCCCTGTCTGCTGGGGGACAAGCGGAAGATTGAATCGAGCAGCGAAGCATACAATGCCTACTACAAATCAGGTCGGTGAACAGGGAAGAAGAGTTTCCTGGGCTTGCTTGTTATCCGTATGCATGTCTGAATGTCAGGTACTTATACCCCGGCTGAGTGCGTCGCTGGCGAGTGGGGCGAGTGGAGCGAATGCACCGCCACGTGCGGCGAATCCAACCAAATCAGGACTCTGCCGGTCAAAACGAACATGCACACGAGAAATGCATGCACACATTAACCAATCCATGTGCAGGCAGGTTGTGATGTGCCTGGAGACGATCCCAACTACCTGCAGACCAAGCCCTGCCGAGTGCCAGAGTGCTTCGTCACACGTAAGAAGATCATCGAATTGCACGGGTCATCCTCGGGCTATTCGTCCCTGTAAGGCCTTCTGTCAGCTGACTGGCCGCCAACGGAGCTCCAGGGCTTCACTGGCCGCCTGCTGTGGCTGGAGGGCACCGTGGACGACACGACCTATCCGCAGTGGGACCTTGGCCTCCTGTTGCTTACACAAGACCCAAACCAATGTGCACGGACGTGAGTGGTCAACGGCATGGATGCACGAATCAAGCAGACAACGGCGATCGCAATCTCCCTTTCTCATTCGTGTCACCTGCTTTAGGTGTCTGTCTCAGCCGCTGTGTCGTGTGTTTGATTGGATCGAGGCCGAGAACGCCCGAGACACGGCACCATGCAGGCTGTCCTTCTCTCGCACTGTGCGCAGCAGTTCACTCAATCGATACCTATACATTCGCGACGACACACCAAGTGGTGACACACTTACACATATGCCAACCACGTTTCCAAATACGGCTCTTGTCCGTCTTTCTCAGGTGGCCCAGAGGTCGATTTCCGCGAGCAGTTCTGTCTGCGAAAGGGTGGCCAGTTCTATGGCGTGCTCGGGAACGACGGAGTGCTCAACAGCGCGTGCTGCCGCGGCAACTGCAACCCTCGATGTGGCGATCCCGAATGTGGTGAGCAGCAGACGGCCGGCCTGACAGCGACGCACTGCTGCAGCAGCAGGATCCGCACATCGGGGAGAAATTGCTATGACGAGGACCCTCCCTGTCAAGTGGGAGAATGTATGTAAAGCAGCATGTCTTATGAGAAACACTTATGCAGCTTTGTGCCCGCCACATACAGATTGGAACACGAAAGGCCTCGAGACCGCTGCACTAGGTAAGTGGTACGCTGAAAGGCTTGGTTGAGCGACGCACCGTCTCTGCCGTGCATCGGGGGTCAGATTGGTATTCGAAACGTGATTTCTGCACCGTCATCAAGCGGGGCATCCCCGATGTCTTGCGGCGGCACTGCTGTGAGGACGTCTCGGCGCCATTGCGGCGGCACTGCTGTGAGGACGTCTCGGCGCCAATAATCAATTGCAGCCCCATCGCTGAGGGCAGAAGCTGCCTCACTAACGATCCCCCTTGCCAACTGCCAGAAGGTCAGTGGAATTCATGTATCGAACAATCGCATCGTTAATGTGGATGCGTATGTCCATGCAGCTTACTCTGACGGCCTCACAGCAGTGGCCGGCTTCTCTCGGCCGCGTCGCGGCCAGTACTGTGCCACACACGTCCTTATGGTGGACGCACCGTCCATCGAAGAATGTGCCGCCAAGTGAGGGAGACAAGGAGACAAGAATCTGTGAATGACCTCCTTTATCTGTGTATGTGTTGATCAGGTGTGAGGAGCAGCTTGCGTGTCGCTGTTTCGACTATCTCGAAGGCGGGCTGCCCACCCGTGGGATACTCTCGTGCCGGCTCAGTCCCTCAACCGCCACATACGACAGCGGCGCTGGATTCGTCGCATACGTCAGGGAAGGTAAAGGCATTTTTCCAATCATTCATGTGTCTCTATCACATTCTTGTGCATGGATGCAGGCGGCCTCGGTCAGGATCTGTGTGACCGTGTGCGTCTCGGCCAGTGGCACCCGAGCGGTGACGCATGTTGCGCCTCATCATGTGGCGACCTCTGTGGCGCATCGAATTGCGCAGATGGAGGATCAGACTCCTGCTGTCGGGGCACCATCAGAGTGTCACGCAACTTCTGCCAACAGGCCGACAAGGCACCATGCGCACTTACTGCCTCATGTGAGATACTGGGTGTACACGAAATCCCACTCATACACTCGTCTCCGGTGGTTCTACAGATTGGGTCAGCCGCGACACAGACGCCCGCGGAGTCCTTCGTGGCGGTCTCACAGCAGAGGCGTGGTGCGTTGGGCTGCTCGGTGGGATATACGAACCAGAGTACGGGGTGTGCTGCGACTCTAAATGCGGCTCGTGCGGCGGCTCTGGTTGCGGGAACAGGCCTGGCGGGTCTGCGGCCTGCTGTGTGGGGGCGATTAGGAGCGCCGGCGTGTCTTGCTATGAAGACACGGTATCGCCGCCATGTAACGTGCCACATGGTGAGGCAGATACACCCACACTTGTCATGCATCCTGATGCATTCGTCTCGCCTTCAGTTCCCGAGCCGCAGGTGGGTTCATGGCGCTTTCTCATGGTTGACGCGGCTGGCATCGCTAAAGAGGACATCAGCATCCCCTCCACCCAAGTGGGCACCTACCAGACTCCCCTCCTCGCCCCCCACACCCCCGACTTCACCTTCCAAGTGCTGCCCCTTGACAATACCACCCTGAAAGTTACTTCGGTCCGCTTCACCCTCGCCAAAACAAGCAGCCCCGGGACACTGCTGCCTATCGGGGCCAACCCGGGCGATGAGAGGATCTTGGTCGACAGCGCCCCGCCATTTTATGCATTCGGCGACTATTCTGATGGCGAAGTGGTTCGTCTCCGTGGTGGCGGGTTTGTGGCGGCCAAAGAGGAGTATGTGATCAAAGCAACGCCACTGACTGAGACGGACGCTGGACCTGTGGCGGGGCCATCAATGGAACTCAGATGTAAGCCACTGACTTGACATACCTGCATGTATGTACGGAACAACAATCCCCTTTGTTGGTCCATTATTAGTTGTTCAGCTGAATCGAGGTGCCAAGGCCAGCCACACGCAAAGGGCCATCAGACGGGACCACTGATACGCGCCTGCCTTGTGTGTTTGTACAGCGGTCAATTGTGTCGTAACCGAATGGCTAGAGTGGTCTGATTGCGATGCGTCATGCGGCGAGGCCACCAAGACACGCACACGTGAAGTCATGGTACCAGCCGAGAACGGCGGCATTCCATGCCCGTCAACATCGGATATGGAGCAGGCTGTGAGCTGCGGGCTACCGCCATGCCGTAAGAATGATACCAAAACACATGTCGACGACGCCATTCCGTGTCTTCTGTCCTCAGCGTCTGGAAATGAAAGCGAACGAACTGTCACGCCACCCCCTTTACCAACAGGCAGGCACGCTTGCATAGGACGCAGTAACACGTAGCTGGCTGATGGACTCTCATTCTTTCATGTTGGTCAGGTACGACTGTATCGCCATTCGGTGGGGGCGGGGATGAGGTCACTCTAGACCCGATTGCTGTGACCACTACACCCGCACGCACAAGCACAGCCACAAGCACACCAAGTATGACCACTGATGTGCCTGGGTATGATGTCTCTCCTTCTCCTACCCCCACCCCCTCCCCCATCCCCTCTGTGCCTGCATCCCCGTCAACTTCCCTGCCAACCACGACACCGCCTGGAACCCCTATGCAAACAAGCCCAGGTGACAAGATGCCGTGTGTGTTGTCTGAGGCGCATGAGACACACTTTTCTCGTGCCTGTGTCGAGTGCAGCGCCAGCCAATATGACCCCGCCTGACGCAACCATCCTGGGCCAGTACGCCACTTTGTGTGCCACCAATTTTTCCGGACTCTACTCGCCCACATGGAACCTCTGCTGCGACCCATCTTGCGTCGACTGCTCGAATAATCTCTGCCCCGACGGCTATCCCACACCCACACAGGACGACTCCACCGTCTATGGCTGCTGCCCCGCGAGCATTATCCTGCACGCGGGCAACTGCTCGGATACTGGGAGTGCGCCCTGCATCATGGATGTGGCGCTTTCGCTCACGACGTCAACCAGGGCGCGTGGTGGCGGGCAGATTGACACGTGGGTGTGGGCGGTGGGCGGCACGCTTGTCGTGGTCATGGTAATCGCTGGCGGCCTTCTGTGGAGGGCCCGAGCAGAGAAAAGGGCCATTGTGGACCACTTGAGGCGCAGCACGTATAACAAAGTGGCCAAGGCCGACACCGAAGGGTACAAACAAACAATTGACGGATTCCACCAACATATGATGTCTTTCTCTTCTGTACCTTCTGTCTGGGCAGCGAGGAGAACATGGTAATATCGTCGAGAGTTGTGCGTCGCAGCGATGGTGGGGAGGAAGGCGCGACGCCCACAGGTCCGCGACGGCGATCGAGTCGTGCACCGGGCCTCAAACCTGGTGTGGGAGCGGGAGTGCTGCCCTTTTTGTACGCTGATCCAATGCACACCTCAGCTACACCCTCAGAACCTGCCAGGGGTGACTTAACGCACAGACAAAGCCGCCGTATTCGTTGTGTCTCGTCTTTGCCTTGCAGACTTTTCATTCGAGTCGAGGATTCGGACATCACGAGAAGCGCGGTCGGCTGGCTATGACGACTTTCTGGCCCGCCTGCCGAGAGTGAGGCGCAACACGGCGGACAGAAGGGCACGCAGGTCACTCAGCGACTCACACATAGGTGAGTACCCACTGGCACCGATAGCCGTTGCAGCTCCTGCTCTGCACTTGGTTGTTTGTGGATAGACCTGGAGCTTGGACCGCAGTCGACGGAGAGACACCGATCGAGGGAAGGGGGGCAAAGCGAGGCGGCTACCCAACAAAGTTCCGACACAGGTGGGTGCCCTCCCCCCCTACCCCGCGACGACACATACACATCCTGCTACGTACGCACACGTTCAATGCAGGCCAACACTATGGGACTCGGGGAGACAGGAGGGTGTCAAGATGTTCATTCAGCGCCAATCCGTTTTGAGATGTGCATGGGAGTGTATGGGTACGGCTGTGTCCTGCACTTGCATCAAGATTTGTTGATGCTTGCTCACTCTCGCCTCGGTTAGTCCGTCGCACGGACGTTCATTCTGTATGCACACGCATGGCTATCTGCATCTGCCTGTCGCTTTCCCTGGTCTACACTAGCTATGTACGTACATGCTCTTTGGCTGAATCGGATGTTGGCTACGCATAATATAATAATACAGACAGGCAGACAGGCAGACAGGCAGACAGGCAGACAGACAGACAGTTCCGGCCTGAAAGGTATGTGTCTTTGGGTACTTCGGGGCTAAAGAGCTGTCTTTGGGCTGAGTTGAGCCGGGAGGGTACAAGGCGGGGCCCGAAGGGCCGCGCCGCGTGTGGTGACGTCTGGTGAATGCGGAGGCACCGACCACATGTATGAGACCCCGTCCATGCGTGTCCTCGATCTCCTGGAAAGCAGACAGATCGAAGTGCCTCGCCAGTCGCGCAGCAAATTGTATCTGCGATCCTATCTATGATCTTGGCCAAACGAACGTTTACGGAGCACACACAAATCAGGCAGGTATCTCTTGCGACCGACCGTAAAGCCCTGACTCAAAGAGCAATATCTATCTTCTGACATCCAAACGCGGGCTCACCGTGGGTGTTGCCTTACCGTCACACCGGACACAGACGGCAGGGCAAGGCACACTGAAAAGGGCACAGCTGCAGCGAAAAAGAGAACAGCTACTGTGCACATGGCGGACATTGCAACGGGATGAATTCGACGGATGCAGGAGAATATTTCCTGTCGGATGTGGGGGGCGCATGCCGGCGTCTCTTTGCCCCCAACCGCATGCGCGCTCACTCGATGGGACCCCACGCGAATGCGTGTCGTCGAACTGTTACGAGGGGAAAGGGGCCCCCGAGTAATGGGAGGCGATCGGCCAGACGGAGAACATACGAAATTTCCTGGCAACAAACATCCACATATTTTTCGAGAGTGATTTTTGCTCGCCTTGAGGTAGAGTGAGGTTGAGTACGTATTTTAGAAGGGCTGGACAAGAGGAGACGGCAGAGATTTCGGCGGAATTCACGTGTGGTGCACGGAAACTGGCTTTGCTCCAAGTTTATCGTTCTGTTTGCTGAGTGCATGCGGCGACCGCTGAGGAACAGGAAGGCTGCAATTACAAAGGCTTCGACGAGAGGAGCAATGCAATGCCCTTTAATGGGGGGGGGCATTAAAGGGCAGACGTGTAGGTATTCGAGGCAGACGATGATGCATAGGAAGACGAGCGCATTTCGGTAGGACGGCAGGCATTGGTATCGGTGGAGCTTTGCAAAGGGAGACTGCGCGCTGTCATGATGCGGGGGCGTTATGGGGGCGTCTTGGCACAAGCGAATTAAAGCGAATGAGACTTTCTTGTCTGGTTCAAGGTGTTGAAGTGACCGTTGTTGTCTTGTGTGGCGATTTGTGGCTCGAGAAACTTGTGGATGTATGCTCAGTCGCCCGTCAAAATACGCCGGAAGATGTCTAGAGAGTACCTCATCGTGTGCACGTAAAGGTACATGCTGGTTGGCAATGGAGACACGTAGCGAAAGAGAAACACGGTAAGCTTTCGTGTGTATCCATCAGACAAACAGTCATGTGTGAGTCAATGCGTAACACGCAGTGAAAATCAA